TTCTGTGAACGGTTGGTTTCTTCAATGCCAAAAAGGGTGAATGATGTTATAAAGGCAAAGGGTGATTATACGAAATGGTAATATAATATTGTAGTTCATTAGTTAGTATTTTTTTTAGCTTGATAATAGTTCAATAAAAAGAATCCTTCCTTTGAATTTTGTCCTCGAAATCGGGCAATTTACGCGGAATGCTAAAAAATTTCAAAAAAGTTGGTTAATTTTTGTTCAAGTAACTTCTACAAAAAATATTGTTAACGAATATAATTCACTTACTTTTGTTTCCACGTAATTCTTCAATGGCGAGATATTCGTATCTCGCCAATTTTTTTTCCGTGTTCCATTTCTTAAGTGAGCTACTGTAACTGCCTACCTTTTGTTGCTCATTTTATCAATGGCGACATATTCATATCTAATCATTTTGCTTTCCGTGTTCCATTTCTACTGTAGTTTGTATTTTTTCATCTTGACTGCCAAAAATCGAAACATGTAGAACAATTCAAGCTCGTGATTTTCTTTTCTTCGGTTTGGAGGCTCTTTTTGGAAAGGGGGCGATCAAGGGCACGTTTAGGCATAATTCTAATAAACTTTGCAGAGATTGAATTTCAGGGAAGTTCAAACGAGTCCAAGAAGGTTTGGAAAGTTATCCAATCAAAAGCCAAAATTTTATTAACATTTATTCATTTTGATTTTCACAAGTATTGCTACCACCGCCATGACACCGTGCCCCACACATGACCCCAGCTTTCTTACAATTGCAATGATTAGTTCTACAACTTCCCTTGCAATTACATTGATAACCTGTCATTTCCCCCCGGCTTTGGTACAATGATGCTTCACGCAAAGAAATCAAAGTATTTGGTATTTCTCGCAATTCTGGAAAATCCATAGCCTTCGTAGGCATCAATTCTACTGCACGATAATATACATTTAATACTCCTGACTTGCATCCTAATCTATAGAATTCACCATCGACAGTTCCGACCACTTTGCATATGAGAAGCTTTCTATCGGTACTTGAACGATCAATTTTCGGAATTCCAATTCGCACAAAATCTCCGATTTCATATGATATTTTTCGTTTGGCATTTTTACGAAGCATTTTTTCTCGCATTATTTTGGCGTTTTTAGTATATCGGTCACGAGCAACTTGATATACTTCATAGTGATCGGTGGGTAAGTTAGTAATGTCGTGTAATGCATTGCATTCGTCACTATCATACTTTAAAAAAAAATGAATAGAGATTATGTTACAAAGCACAAAAAGAATAAAAATTACTTCATTACTTGAAATTGTAACTGAAGTATGACGGGAGTTATTCACAAAAAGAATAAAAATTACTTCATCACTTGAAATTGTAACTGAAGTATGACGGGAGTTATTGAGGTGGGTACTAGTGCTTTCTAAGTTGCTGATTTCCTCTGCTTGTTGCTCAATAAAATTTTGTCGCTGCCATTGTCTGTCGGCACTTTTTTCTTGACACTGGTTTTCCGCATTTCTCTCAATGTTTTCCGCTTGTTTCCGCAGATTTTCCGCCGCCTGTTGCTGCTGGCTTTCCGTTGCTTCTCGTTGCTGGTTTTCTGCTTGTTGCTGATGATTCACCGCTGCTTGTTGCTGCTGATTTCCCGCTGCTTGTTGCTGCTGGTTTTCCACTACTGGTTGCCACTGATTTCCCGTTGCTGGTTGCCGTTGGTTTTCCACTGGTGGTTGCCACTGGTTTTCCGTCGCTTCTTGTCGCAGATTTTCCGTTGTTTGTTGCTGCAGATTTTCTATGGTATTTTCTGATTGTTGTTGTTGTTGCTGTTGATTTCGAGATTCATCATCTGATTCCATGTTTAAATCTTCGGGAAGGTCTTCTTCGTGTATAATTGATTGCTCAGAAAGAGACTCAAGAAGGAAATAATTAGCACGAGGTTTTCTGCCAAACACTATTTGATATGGTGGAAAGCCTGTTACCGAAGAGACTTCCATGTTCATTGCGTCTACGTAGTAAGATAAATTAGCAATTATTTAAAATTAAATAATTTAATAAAAAAATAATATACTTAACAGGTCACCCAACAAAGTCCACTCGCCCAGTTATTAGTTCCTTTATCTTCCATCCATTTTGAGAGCTTTTGCTGAAGCACATCGTTAGCCCGTTCGATTAATCCTTGAGATTGAGGATGTCTTGGACGTCCATTTATAATACGAATAGTTGGCCAAAGATCTGTTAAGTTTCTAATGATTTTTGCCGTAAATTCTTTTCCATTATCAGTTTGTAAGATGGTTGGTGGTCCGAATTTAGTGAAAAGTTCAAAAAGGAAAGCTGCCACCTCTTTGGCTTCTTTAGAAGGAAGAGCAGAAGACCAACAAAACTTTGAAAAATGATCGCGAGCATGGCAAATATACTTAGAAGAACCATCTGGTCGATTATGCATATCAATTAAGTCCACTTGCAAGCGACACATAAAGCCTTTCGCCAAAATAGGCTTCGCAGCTACTGGTTGAGCTAATGATCGTCGTGTAGTACACCGAGTACAACAAGCGCAAAATTTTTTCACCAAGTCTTCAGGTACCCAAGAATATTTATCCTTAATCTATAAATAAAAACTTTATTTAATTAATAGTCTTTTTTTAAGCAACATAATATTGCGTACCGCATCATATGTTTTACTCATTCCTCCATGTCCTACTTCTAAATGAAATTCGCACAGTTTATTATATAATTCTTCTTTTGGACAAACTGGTTTTTTGGTTTTTATGTGATAAAGTTCGCGTTTCCCTCCAATACTCATAATATAAAATATAACGAAATTAGAATGAAATAGTATAAAATCTAAAAGAATTAATATAAATTAAAAATAATTAAAATCATATATTTACTAACTATTTATTAAAAATATACTATAAATAACATAATATATCTTATATCAGGTGTTAAATTCATTACATGATAATAATATTAATTATCATTTTTGTTTAATAATTTTTACTTTTTTTATCTTTTTCTATTTTTTTCTATTACTTTTTATTTTTTTTATTTTTTATCTTTTTCTATTTTTTTTTATTTTTATCTATTTTTTCTATTTATATTATATCTATTTTTTTATTTATTTTTTTATTTTTTCTATAATATTTTAGAATATAAATAATATCAAAATATTTTTAGAATTTTTGTATAAATAAGAGTACTATTTCAACTTATATTTTAATACTTTAAAAAAATTAATAAATTTTAATTTTATTTTAATAAATTAACTAACTATCTTGTTATTTTATTATTAATATTTATTCTTTATTTTTATTCTACTTAAAAAAGCTATTTGGCTAAAATAATTTGTTTAATCAAATTTTAAATCTTGTTATTTAAATTATTTTTTATAAATCTTGAATGAGATCAAGAATTGAATATTAATTTGTTTAAAATTAAATTTTTAATTAATTATTTATTGAGTCTTTAAACTTTAAAAAGATAAATATATTTTTTTGAATTGAATATTTATGATATTTTGATTTTTAATTAAAGATATTTGATTTGGATATAGTATTTTATTTTTTGTTAATATTAAAAATACTAAAATATATATTTATAAATATAGAAATATTAATATCTTTTATTTTTAGTTAGTAATTCTCATTAGTTAATTATCTTTTGAATATTCTCTTCTAACTCTTTTTTTTTATTTTCTGATAGAATTATTTAATAATTTTTATCAAAATTAGCTCAGACTTAGATACTCATTTTTGTATTAATCAATTTATTAATCAATTTTTTTTGACTCATATAATTTTTTTACTAAAAGTAAAAATCTCTTAACTATAACAATATATTTCAAATATTAAAAAGATAAAAATAACTTATATTATAAAATCATAAAGTTCAATAGAAAATTCTATGAAACTTTTATAAAAATTTCATGAAATTTTTATGAAATTTCTATGAAAATAGTGATATAATAAAGTTAAAAATATTTATAATCTAATAATAATAATAAATATAATATTAAAAATAACTAAAAATAGAATAAAATAAAAATAATTTATACAATTAGTAAATAAAAATAAAATAAGTAAATTATAATAATAAGTAAATGAAAATTTATATAAAATTTTGAAGTTATAAGATTAAAAAAAATTATTACTAATTTTCAAATTTAATTTAATAAAGTTATTTTAATTATATATAAAATCAATTATTTTTTTATAATTAATATATAAAAAATGATTAACTTTATATGTAATTACAATTATCAAATTAATTTAAAAATTTAAAAAAATATGTAATATTATCTTTATTTTAATATAAAAATAAAAATATTTATTAGTAAAATTGAAAGCTTTTATATAACGAAAAAAACCTGTATTTTAATATATTTAATTAATAAATTTTGATATTATTGCTTTATTTTTAATTATTATTATATAATATATTTAAAATTTTAAGTAATAATTAATTTAAAAAATTTTGTATTAATAATTTTATTATTAATATTAAATAAAACCAATTTTAAATAATATTAAAACTTTTAAAAAATTTTTGTATATGTCATGAGTCGGAACCGGATTTGTGTTGATTCTGAATCAACCTAGGTTGATCCAGGATTCCGTATCAAC